CCCCCCCCCTCCCAAATCTCCTTCAATAATAGATCTAGTGATAGCATCTCCGGATATTGCACCGTTAATTGAATGCTCTGTTCACAATGATCTCTGCGGGAGTGATCACTTTCCCATGGTCATTAATATTAACAAGAAATACGATCGTACTTCCTCTTTTTCATGTAAACTTCGTATTAAACCAGATCAATGGAGATCTATTAAGAAGCAGCTCCTGTTAATAACTAAATCCTTATTTGAAAAGCTGCAAAAAATTCCCGATAATGACCCATTAGCAAAATATCACGAGTTCACCACAAGCATTCTTGATGTGGTTGATAAAATCAGCCCCCCTCCGCGTTATCGTAGCGGGTTACTTACTTATAATAAAGGCACTCGAACTGGCTCCCCCCCCACCCGCGCCCTGGTGGAACACAGAGTGCACAGATGCCATTACAAAAAGAAAATCCGCATACCACACTTATCGTCATAACCCCACAGTAGCTAATTACAACCTCTTAAAAAATGAAATTAATGATTCTCGTCGCGTTCTCAGAAAAGCCAAAAGAGAAGGCTGGAGAAAATATTGTGCCTCCCCCGGACCTTTTACTCCATCTGTGGAAGTCTGGTCTATGATTAAAAGATTTCGCAATAGGCGGCTTACAACACCACCCGCATCCTTGGCATCCTTTGACATCGACGAACTAGACTCACCGCTCAAAGAAGCTATGGACAAAATATGCCTTCCTGTTCTACTCCCCCTTTGTCCTTTGACGCGGTTCCGAATAATCCACATGTTTGGATTGATGACCCATTCACTCTTCAAGAATTTACGAATGCTATTGCCACTAGCAAACGTAAATCCAGTCCCGGAATGGACAGAATTGACAACTCTCTCATCCGCGCCCTTCCCAGTGGCTTGTCCTCAGTACTTCTTGACATCATCAATTCTCTGTTTAGACATGGAGTCTTTTCATCAACATGGTTACATTCACTATCTTATCCCCAAGCCTCAGGGTAAGGGCTTCCGCCCCATAGCACTTACTTCATGTATTCTCAAGCTTACAGAGAAAATGCTCCTTAACCGTTTGCAATGGCTCATTGAAAATCATGTGTTGCTTCCTGAACACCAATTCGGCTTTCGCAGTTTTCGCTCTTGCCTGGATAATTTTACGATATTGACCGCGGATGTACAAGCGGGATTTCTGCATCACAAACACACTGCCGCGCTATTTGTCGATATTAAATCTGCCTTTGACAACGTTCTTCCCAATCTGCTTTTGCAAGATTTAGCTTCTCTCAACATTCCTCCCTGCACCTTGAAATTCATAGCAAATCTAATTTCATGTAGAAACGTTCAGTTTGTAATGCAAGGAACACTACACCCAATGAGGATTTCGCGCAAGGGCACCCCTCAAGGCGCTGTTCTCATTCCTACCTTGTTCAACTTATATCTCCGTAGAATATCCTCGATTATTCATCCTGAGACCAAAATCATTCAGTTTGCAGATGATATAGTCTTATACTCTACATCATCGAATCCTAAACTAGCTGCGCAGTCTATCCAGCATTCCCTGAAAAGAATGGGAGACTTCCTACTTCAACTGGGACTTGAAATCTCACCGGAAAAAACGCAGTTTATGGTGTTCACGCGATCCTCAAAACCAATCTATTCGGGTCTTGCAATTTCAGACAGGGAAACCAAAATTAATCCTTCTGACTCAGCTAAATTTCTTGGAGTTACTCTAGACCCGGGACTAACCGGAAAACTTCATTTGGAGCGCGTCAATAATAAAACACGCAAGGTCTCGCAAGTTTTATCTGCCCTTAGAGAGGTGTGGTGGGGATCCCCTCATCAAATGCTCCTCAACGTATATCGGGCCCTGTGTAGAAGTGTTATGAAATACGCATGTCACATCTTTTGCCTTGGCGACTCGAGAGGGCGTCAGAAGCTTCAAATTACCCAAAACTCGGCTATTCGTACCTGCCTTGGCCTTCGAATATCTACACCCCTCAACATATTATTTACTGAAGCACAGGAACCCCCCTTTAAACTCAGAATAAGGCTTCTCGCGTACAAATACCTGCTTAAAACTCTTTCGATTACTGATCATCCGGTGGTCGAAAGATTTGAAAATCTCATGATCCTAACCGACTCCCCCGCTAAGCGTTCCTACGTGGCTAGTAACTTCCCTCTAATCTCAATCTTTCGACAACTACATCACCTCAAACAGCAAATCCATCATACGGTTATCCTACCGAAATTCAGCTGCACCTTCGCGTCCATATTTATCTCTCTAGAAATATTATATTCTCCTGAAGAATTCTCAACTCGCTTGAGCAATTCGTCTTCGGAGCTGGCACGAACCCTTTTCTTAGAAACTTTTCGGGAATTTATAGGGCAGTCGACTATCTTTTACACGGACGGATCTAGAATAAATGAGAGCTCGTGTGTTGGCGCGGCGTGGCACTCCCCTCACCTTGGGATTGAACTTATGGATAGACTTCCTCACTACGCATCCATCTTTTCGGCAGAAGCATGGGCTATTTACAATGTAGTTATCTCGTTAAAAGTTTATAATGTCTACGATACAGTCATAGTTTCTGACTCAAAAAGCATCTTACAAGCCCTAAAAGGGGCGATACTATACAACAATAACTACCTGATTCGCTCATTAAGGCTAAACTAGAGGAGGCAAGTCGCAATGGGATCCGAGTGCGTTTTATCTGGGTCCCGTCTCATAAAGGCATTCCTGGAAATAAGAGGGCAAACATTCTCGCGAAAAAGGCCATTAAAGAAAGTAGGAACAACTTCTTCAAAGTTTCTCTCGCAGATCTCTTTACCATTCCTCGTAGAAAGCTAGACATAAGTTTCGACACCTATCTTAACTCTTGGGCAAACAGCAAGGGTATACAGTATTTTCAGAAGATTTATTGCAAGCAAAAAAAACCATGGTACTATTTTTTCAAACTTGATAGGCAGGCAGTAGTAATAACAATGAAAATTCGTTCAAATCACTATAATCTTAACGAAAGCTTACATAGGAAAAATATTATTGACAATCCGACCTGTACATGTGGTCACCCCTCACAAGACATCAATCACGTGATATTTGAATGTCCTGAAACCGCAGAACACTCCCATTCCTTAAAGAACTTTATCGCAGAAGTCAGCATTGGTGCCTTTTGTAGAAAAAACATCTTTGATGTACTCAAAAAACCTTCTACTCAGCTCTGCCGTCTTATTATGTCTTTTTGCAAGGCATGCAAATTATACATTTGAATTTCCGCTTATGACTGCAAATGGCCGTACTCCTGTCCCGGCTCCTACTCCAATTCCCCCCCAACTCTACACCCCCTTTCTCTAGGCTTGTGCGTCCAATGACCACTCGACATGACTCAGAATTGTCCACACCGACTATGTAACTCACATTTCGTTACATCTCGCACTTCTCACACAGTACAGATATCTCGAACACTGCTGTCTCTGGCCGACTTAACTCTCAACTGAGAGCAGGCGCCACAATAAAAAAAAGAAGAAGAAGAAGAAGCCTCTAGTTGCGTCTGGTGAGAGGTTAAACAGCTGTCAGAAAGTGATATACAGGGTGTATGTATTAAAAGGTGAAACTTGTGCACCGCGGGAAATTAAATAAGTATATGTATTGAATATACATAGTTTCTTAAAATAAATTTATTTAAAATTATTATAAACATTTTCAAATTCTTCTATTGAAAAACTTAATAACATTGAATGATTACATTAATTTAATATATTGACATTAGATTTATATAGGATATTGACAAGAAAAATAAGAATACGTTAATATATAATACAATACATTAATAATATACAAGAATAATATATATATTAAAAATGATAATTAATATAAAAGAAATAACTTTTACTTTCATTAATTATAGAATAGAATTGGGCGATACATCATTGCATGTAACAACAAGTCATATATGGATATTTGCGAAAAAATTATTGGAATATGACATGGATGCAACGTAGAAGATTATTGTAAAAATTCTTCCTTAATGCAAAAAACAAAATTGTACATGGATTTTACATGAATTTTGCATGTATAGTTTTTAACATGTTTGATTTTTCTGTTGTAGCAGAAGTAGCAAGAGTGTTATATGTCCAAGTAATAATTTAATATACTCATATTACAAATGTATATATAACATTATTGAGACACGGAGAGAAAAGGCGTAGCTTAATTTCTGACAGGCAAAGTAAAGATAATGGAATCGACTGACGATACTGGAAAGAGAATAAATTAAATAACTGTTTTCTTTTTTTTACTTTTCGTTGATAAAATTGCGTTTAAAAGTACATTTCTTTTAGATTTGAAGATGAAAGCGATTGTTTGTGCGATGAATTACCATATGGAATTGATCCTTCAAAGAGGCTTCTTGCCTGCACGTGGTTAATCTTGTTATGCGTTTTCTTGATTATTTGGAAAAAGATTGCTTATTGACCTCGGGATTGTAGACAGGTATGTGTCAAATAACATTTTTAAGCCAAATACAAGATTACATCCAAAGCAAGGAATTTTAATATAATAAAACTAACAAAAAAAATTTTATCTTTACAAGAAATGGTACATTTTGGATACGAAATTCTACGGTGATTACTTACACGAGTATTTATATTTATTGAAATC